AGTGACCTTCTTGCTGTGACTACATTTTAGACGCATTTTAAACACAAAGCAGCAGACCTTAAGGAAACGCTAGAGGAAATTGAGCACACATTAGTGCTGGGAAACTCCGTCTGTTCATAAATCCAGGTTTTGTGAGTTAATCTGAGTGTGTGAAGGTAATCTCTGTGCCGGTTCAACACAGCGGACATCTCTCTGTGTGTGTGTGTGTGTAATCTGTGCATTGTCATGTCTGTCCCTCACACCTGTCTGAGGTGAGGAAGCGAGAGAAAACCCGTCCTAAAACCCCTGTTTGTCTGATTAATCTGCGTTTTACTGGTAAATCCTCTGGGGAGGAGCGTCCTCTAAACTCACCACGGTAAACTGGATCTGCTCAGATTAGCTCTGCTTTTCCTTTTCATTGTGTGTTTGTGTTGTGCTGACTCCCACATGCCTCAAGTTACCATGCATTAACACTGAATTAACACTAAAAGTGAATGACGGAAGCAAAGGCGAGCCTGAGATTGAGGGTGAAAAGAAAGATTAGGAAATGAAGGTGAAAGCACTCTACATGATGAAGTATGATGTAGCTCACACATTGCATGGTTTAGTTCAGGCCAGAGTTTTTAGAAATTAAATTAAATATATTTAAATTATTTTTAAACTACTGAAAATAAAATTAGTGTAAGATGATTATATTACAATTTCTTCTGGAGAAAGTCTTATTTCTTTTGGCTTCACTGCCAATAATATATATGTATATATATAAACTCACAGGCCACTTTATTAGGTACACCTTACAAGTGCCTTTTGCCTGTATCCTTGATCTCGGTTGTAGCGAGTGCTTATTTGAGTTACTGTTGCCTTTCTATCAGCTGGAACCAGTCTGGCCATTCTCCTCTGACCTCCGGCATCAACAAGGCATTTGCGCCCACAGAACTGCCGCTCACTGGATATTTCCTCTTTGTCGGAGCATTCTCTGTAAACCCTAGAGATGGTTGTGCGTGAAAATCCCAGTAGATCAGTTTCTGAAATACAGTTTTCTGAAATACAGCCCGTCTGGTAGCAACAACCATGCCACGTTCAAAGTCTCTTAAATCCTTTTTCTTCCCCATTCTGATGCTCGCTTTGAACTGCAGCAGATCCTCTTGACCATGTCTACATTAAATGCATTGACTTGCTGCCATCTGATTGGCTGATTAGAAATTTGCAATAAGGAGCAGTCAGACAGGTGTACCTAATAAAGTGGCCGGTGAATGTATACATATTTAAGAAAATTTTCATTTTTACCCACTTACACATGCTTTAATGTGCACAAAGCAGGACTCCTGTTGTGTGTTTGAATGAAGCATCTTTTTTCATAGCTGTGTGTGAATTTGGATTCATTTTTACAGTCAAGAAATTTTAAAACAGACACTTGTTGTGTTTTTATCACTCCAATTGATAAATTGTGGACTGTGGACACAATATATTACACACACTTCCGTCTAAATCACTTCCAAATGTTGATTTGGCATCACAAGTTTAATTTAAGCTAGGAAATTATTATACTGTGGCTCAAATGAATGTTTTGTGTCTAATAGTTTAGATTTGTAGCCATGTAATAATCAGGATAATGTACATCCAGCCGGTTTATATTGCAGATTAAACTCTATATTTGCAACAGCTTCTGATAAATCTCTCCAGCTTTATTCTGCCAGAACAACAGGCTGGACATACATTATCCTTGCTTAATATATTCATTAATTCAGCACTTTCTTATCATTAGTCTGAACAAAACAAAATGTACTGTGTTGAATCGCTGAGCATTTCTATCATTGTTAACAGACGTTACTAGTGCCAAATTCAAGGCTTTAAAAAAATGTAAGTATTTGCAGCACTATACTTTTTTAAAATCATTATGTTAAATAGGTGTAAGTTCACCATTGCCCAGCACTTTTAGAGGGCTCTCAGCAGCAGCAAAACAGTCACAAGGAATTTACGGCTCAGGTAAAAAGCGAAATTGTTCCAGTAGATTCTGTGCCAGCGGCATCATCGACGGACATGCTAACCAACAACTACAGCTCCCATCAGGTAAATTAAACCTCCTTTACTACATTACTGCAGGAGAAATGTAGGCACTTTAGGAGACACCTTCACATCTGAAGACCCTTGAAAAATAGAAATGTGCACTGTTAAATGCACTTCAGGATTTACTACAGTAAAATGATGTATATACTGAAATGCAGGAGTTGCTAACAGTGTGTGTTATAATGATTTACAGTGATTGATCTGTTTATCAAACACTCTGATTGGCTGAGTTGCTGATCAAATATGCCAAAACTGCCTTTGAAGTCTAAAATGGCCGTGAATATTCATATATTTCATTATTGCAGACACAGCAAAAACTGTAAAGCTGATCACACTCTATAATTTAGTTGTACTGATTTGCTAATTTTTCTACAGTATTCACTAATACTTTCATCATTGTGGTATATTTACTGTAGTTGCACTAAAAACAATGCGGAAGTAACTTTTGTGCATTAGGACTTCCAATTTGTCAATGGAGGACCCACATGAAAAAATGCTGTAGTGATTTACAGTAAATACTATAGTGGTTTTGAAACATACTATAGTAAAGTCTATTATACTGTATTATAGTATTAAACAATGCTCCGGCATAGTATTAACGACTTGTGAACTGATAAACTGTAATAAATACCAACCTGATCTTACGAGGAACATAAGTATTTCACGTTTTGTCAGTTTAGTGGCTATTTCGAACAAATTCGTATGAGTTCAGTCGTACGATAATGTACGATTTTTAAAAAGGGGCGTGGCACCCAACCGCACCCCTAACCCTGACAGTCATTGGGTGATGAGCAAATCGTACTAAAATGTACACATTATATTGTACGAATTCATACTAATTAGCCACTAAATCAAAAAGTTACGAATAGCCGTGAGATTGTGTTGTAAATACTGTAGTATTTTAGGTTTACTACAGTAAACTGTGGTGTATGGAAGTATAATATAACCTATAGCTCTTGAAAACTACAGTACTGGATTATTTGTTTATATTACTTTAGCTGTGTTACCATAGCAACTGTAGAATCACAAAAGATCAGTTACTATAGTATTTCTGTTACCATAGCAACTGTAAAATTGCCACAACAAATCAGTTACTATAGTTGTTACCATAGCAACTGTAGAATCACCACAACAGATCAATTACTATAGTTGTGTTCCCCTAGCAACTGTAGAATCACCACAGCGGATCAGTTACTATAGTTGCTGTGTTCCCCTAGAAACTGTAGCATCA